CATTTATTTATATGGTAAAGATATACTGCCTCCTTATCACTTGGTGTAACATCAAGTGTTCTGGGCTGGAAATGAGATGGCATGCTGAAAGTGTGCTATTTCTGTCAATTTACCTTTTTGTGTGACTCCTATCATGTCTGATATTGCTTGTGCAGACATACGTTTAATGAAGAATATCTCATAAACCAGAAGCAATCATGTGCAGCTTTTGTTCAGAGTGTTGTCTTGGTGCAGTCAGTGAGGACCGTCATTCAAGACAGTCATCTATCATTTAAGAGCCATTTTAACAGCAAGACATTAAAGTTAGTGGTACCCAGCCTCTCCTGGCATTCCTAAAAGCCACTTTTACATAATCACAAAAAAAAAAAATACCATTTCCTCAATGTTTTTTTTTTTTTTTGGGCCCCTGGCTGTCTTAAAAATGTTCTACAACATCGTTCTCTGTGGGATTTTTTTTTTCTAAGACACTGTTCACACATTCAGGATGAGAATATCCTCTCTGTCACTGTTGTTTCACTGCCAGCTGCAGCTCTCTCATGGGTGTTTTTCAAGTACATTTAAAAATGTGGGTGAGTTTTGTTGAAGTTGTTAGTGTGTGGCTAAAGTGGCTCGACAGAATTTCTCAATAAACCTCGTATGTATTTGTGTCTGAGGCAAGGTAGAGAATTTAGTACTTTTTAAAGTACTCGATATTTTGCATTAGGTATAGGTATAGATATTAGGTTCAAACCTGCAGGTTATGTTGACTTCTACATTAACTGCTGATTCTAATTGGCCTTAGGTGTGAACGTGACTGACCCGCACCACCTTCTCGAGTAAGAAAAGCCATAAGAAAATGTATGTTATGTTTCGGTTTAAAAACTCCAGCAAGATCTATGGATCGTTCAAATTAACCAGAGCTTTATTTACAGAGAGACACTTTATTTTAAATTGCTTGACATTAAAGTTAAGCTTTTCAAATGTCATCTCTAGAGGCACCACAGCCTTTTGCCTGCTGGTGAAGTGCAGTGGCAGTCTCAGAGCTCAGAAACAGATGTTAAAACCAGAGAAATGAAACCAAAGCTATTAGCATGGCTTCATATGTAGGCACACCAGGTCATACGTGCACGAATACTGACCTGAAAAAAGAGCAGAGCAGGAAAGCCCATCAAACCAAAACAAATACGTATTTTGCATTCAACTTTTTATGAAAATGCAGAGCACAGTGTACAGTATCGCCTTACCTTTGCAACATGTAAGTATGCATGCAGGTAATCAAAGTATTGGGAGACAAATATGTCATATTTGAAATGTCAAGAAAATCTTATTTGCCTATTTTGTCATAAACATATTGAATACTGAATCATTTGGCATGTAGGAGTAAATATTTGTATTTTTGAGAAGCATGTACACTGCAGTAATTGGGATCAACTGACACATCTAGGGTCAGTTGATCCTAGATGTGTCTAGGATCAACACGTTGTCTCATGTAATGAGTCACATAATCAATAGTGGGTCAACCATCGTCTTAAGGGACAACTCCTACTAGGTTAACATACCTGGGTCTCTCCACCATTTGGTCTTAGAACTGATGAAGCTTCTTGGATGAGAGTGAAGCGTCTTTCAAGAAACTTAAAGAAGTCCCACTGCTTTTCTTTCCAAGCTCCTTAGATTACCATGACCTGGATGACTGAGACCCTACACAGACATACATTGCGGTTGAAAATCACATTGGTAAAGACTTATTGCCCTTTATGTCTTACACATGGAAAGCAATAAAAAAATATATTTTTTGTGTCTATAGCATCTTCACCTTTACATCCTGTCTGGTCAGTAATATTATGCAGTATGCCTAACTGCAAACATTTGCACGATCAAAGGAGAACTTTACTGGACCTGGAAACTGGAGGTAAAGCGCTGAACTCTTTCTTTTGATTAGAAACAAGCACAGACACATAGACGCACACACACAAACACACACATATGAGCCAGATTTGCTGTGGTGATTTGATCTCCTGTGAAGAGGAGATTGGTAATGTTCTTTTTTTCTTTGGAGACAGCATTACCCAGGCTCAAGAGAGAAGTGAAGACTTTGTGTAGCCTTGCAGCCTCTAAAGGCTTCATGGGGGCTCTCTAAACCCCGAGCTCCATCCAGCAACTAGTTTTCCGTGTTGATTGAGGAAGATAGACTGGCTGTACAGCGGCTTTGTATTTTTTCACCAGCAGAAGCTGCAGTAGTCTTCTCACTCTAATGCTTATTGATTCCAACACTTCCTAAGATGGTGTGCTGTAAGTCAGTGCTGCTTTGCATTTCCATGCCACTTTTTTTTTTATTTGTTTAAGTGTGACTCACTAATGGTGAGGTAGAAGAAGATTAAGAGTAGACTTTGCCACTGTGACGCTGCGTCCTTGCCTGCTTACGCTGTTAGATGATGAGGAAAAATCTATTTTACATTCATCTCATCTAACCCCAAAGAAAGCTGGCATCCAAATAGATTTTTTTCCCGCTGTGCTGATGAAGCACAGGTGTTAATGAGCATTAACATTCATAGCCTGGCTTGTTTTATCTACTCCTGCATTTTGTTTGCACACCTTGCTGTTCAGCAATCACTTTAAATGTAATGAACTCTCAGTGGTTTTTAGAGGCTGTTTACACAAAGTAGAAGGAACAAGTTCTCTCAAACTTCTTGATGTTCTTTTGTTTGCTTGTTGCTTTTCGTACTGTGGAAGCCATGATTTTAAGCACCCCTTCTCACTGGAAGACCCAAAGCAGCAGCTCTACACACTAAGCCTTCATCAAGCTTTACGTTTCTTTACATATTGATGATTACTGGTCCTGTAATTAGAGTAACAGAACATGTGCTATGTAATATTTGCACACTGTGAGGAGTGATGAAGGAGCTTGCACTTTGGTTACTTCCGTCTTTTAGTGTGTGCAAAAATAAAGGAGAAGCTACATGTGCTATGAAACCGTGTGGCCATAAAGACCCCTATTCCACAGTTCAGTTGACACTACAATTAACTCCTGGCACACAAAATTGTGGTTGGTTACCCAGACAGGTAGACATAACTGGGTCAGTCACCTCCAGTGGACATACAGCATAATACATAACCACAGGTGTCTTTGAGTGCTTATAACTGAAGGCCATACCTGACAAACCTGTTACAACCAGGTCCTTTGTGTTGTTGATAAACTGCTCTTTACGAGCGAGCAACATCAGAATTCTGCATGTATATGCAGTCTGTCAGGTTAACGTATTTGTGTGTGTCTGTGTGCGTGTGTGTGTGTGTGTGCACATGGGTATTTGTTGCTAGCAGGCAAATAGCCAACATGACCCAACTTCAGCTTTTCAGCTTTAGCGCAGCTCTGCAGACAGCTGTGCCACAAACACGCTGCTGTGGATCACCGCGAGGGCCTTTTATTTAGGTCACATTCTGTGCTTCAGTGGCCAACAGAAGAGATCTCTGTCAACTGCAATGAATACCTTTAGTTGGACACAGCCCACTTTTTAAGTGCTCTGCAAGAAGCGGACACTGTGCATGTCTTTGTTGTACGCGGTGGGTGCCGCATGTGAATTCACTCTTGTGAGTGCGTTGCGGATGGTGGGTGGGGGTGGGGACTGACCACTGTGGATTTTCCATTTTCACTCATACAATAAGAGAAATCTATTTGCTTAATTCTCTCCCTGAATGATTTAATCCTCTGGTTTACCGGAGACAAGGAAATTGCATGAATTATTCCCCTAGTTTTTCAATTAATGTAGCACCTAGTTTACAGTCAAAGAAAATAATAAATCTCTCAACAGTACAGCCATTCACTTAACTGCACCTCACATGCACCCAACACCATGTCATCAAGGGAAGTAAACGCTTGCCATGATATTTAATTCTGCTGCTCGGCCTCCATCATTTTGTTTGTCCTATGTTCATTTCTCCCACCCTAACTCCCAACCCTTTTTTTCCCATTTTTTCTTTTAATAAAATATACCTTAGTGGCCTTTGGTACTGCATTGTAAATCAGTGTAATGAATTGCCTGCTGAGGCTAAGCCTCACTGCTGTCGCTGTGCTACCCTGAGGTGCGTGGGCTCCGATTATTGTCTTGTTAGCTATACCTCCAGTCCACTGGAAACAGTGTGGGTTCACCGACCAGCCAGCCACAGCCCCACATGGGTAAGGAAGGCAGTTTAAGGGTGCTGATGTATGCCGCTCTTTTGTAGTCACCCTGTAAGGGCAAAGCCGTTTATTGCAGTCGCCTCAACCAGCCCAGAAGCTGTCAGCTGGGTTTTACTGGCCAATTGGTTTCCCCCTAGAAGACCTAGAGGTATAGAGGGGATATGTGATCACTGATTGTATTTGTGGGTGTGGGGATGTGCATATTTACCCAGCGAGCAGGTAAGCTGTAAAGCAAAACTAGATATGTTTTCTTTTTTGTTTTAGTGCTACCCAAACATGAAAGCACTGGATTAAATTTGTGAGACAGAGGACAGTTGTGGTAAAGTCGCTGCATTCCCATCCCTGATTTCTTGTATCTTTGACTTCCATTGAAGTTTCATTTTACAGTAGCCTTGAACAAATTTAGCACACACTTGAAATAGATTTGATCTCTCCTTGCTACCTTTTCTTGCTTTAGTTCTCTCTGTTTCCTTGATTCACTGTCATTTTTTTGTTCACTGAAATGTAGTAGACTAAACAGAGAAATGGAGGAAGAGGCTTGAGGACAGATCTGGGTGTCTGGGACAACATGCCAAATGGCTGATATATTTAGAAATCCTCCTTTTGAAGTTTTGAAGGGCAAAAATCAAAGACTTTGAGGGAAGAATAGGTCCAAGGCCTGTCAACATCAGATTTTCTCAGCTGTGAAGGACGGCCAAAAATCATCTTCCTCAAAAAAATCAGATGAAAACATTAAATTGTGCTTTTAAGTGTATGCAAATAGAAGATATTTATAATTCTGTTTTCTGTCTCTCTCTGTTCTTGTTTGTTTGTCTGTTCTTCCCCATGGCTGTGTATTTCTTTGCAGAGCTAGTTTCTGGGCCTTTGCAGACTTCCTGCTGCAGCAGTTGAAGACCTGGCCACGATGACAATGAAAGGTTTGTCCAGCAGTCGCAGTCACCATCACACAGTGACCTGCGACCCTTCTTACGACTCGATGACCCTGGGACACTCAGATCGTCGGTCCTACTTCCTAAACTCTGGGGATGCTCATCCTGCTGACCACCCTTGCTATACCCAAAGGAACTCCTTCCAGTCTGAGTGCAGTACCTATCCTGATCTGGCCAGCTGCACTTTCCCTCGCAGACAGTACAGCTCTCACCATGAGCTAAAGGAGGAGTGTGGTGCTTTGGTGCCTTACACTGGGCCGAGCAGTAAGGGAGGTGGAGGAGGAAACAACAATCGCATCCCCTCTAACCTGCTAGAGCAGTTTGAGAGCCAGGCACCATTGCGGCGTGAAGGCTACCACACACTGCAGTATAAGCGCACTGCTGTGGAGCACCAACGCAGTGACAGCCCCGGTCGAATCCGCCACCTCGTTCACTCGGTCCAGAAGCTTTTCACCAAGTCACACTCCCTGGAGGGGCCCTCAGGGTCTGGTGGAGGAGGAAGTGGGAGGATGAATGGCAGCAAATCCAGTCCTGATGATCCACCATCATCCTCTGGCACCTTAAAGCACAGCAAGCGCAGTAAGAGCAAAGACCGCTCCAAGTCAGAGCCTAAGATGCGCTCTGCCATCTCAGGCTACTGGAGCTCAGATGACACGCTTGACCGGGAAGTGTGCCTCTACCATCATCAACATGCGGGCAACAGTGGAGGCCTGCCCTCTGGGGTCATGACTATGGGGCGTCATCCAGAAAAATCCCAGTCGCAGTATTTCATGGAGTCCTATAACACTATCAGCGCCCAGTCTCTCAAGACGTCACGTAGCAACAACGATGTGAAGTGCTCAACGTGTTCGGGGGGCAGCGGTGGAGGGCTGCCGCTGATGAGTGCGCTCGATGGCCAAGTTCAGCTGAAGAAGAGCTCATGGTCTTCTACTCTGACGGTGAGCAGAGCAAGAGAAGTCTACCAGAAGGCCTCAGTCAACCTAGATAAAGCTCTGGTGAAAGCCGAGCAGGGACGCACTTGCCACTTCCTTCAGGTAGGACTGTTTACAACAGCCCCACCTCTAATGTGTCAAGCTTCATGCATCATCTGGTGTGAGCCGCTCCTCCATGTTTCTGTTTTTCTGCACAAAATCTGCATTTGTTTGCTTGCATGCGTCATTGTGATTTAGAGAGAGAGAGAGATGGAGAGAGACTAATCAGGGTCACAGCAACCCAGACTCGTTCATCTCGTTCCCCTGAGCTTTGATCTCTTGTTGAATTTATTCTTGATATAATCATAAACATTTTTCAGACTCATCACATACCATCTAATCCTCTGTGGTTGTAGCTGAATGCACTGAAATATTTACAATATTTATAATTATATGGCTGGAGTTTAAGCGCTTAATTCCCCTGTAATTCAAATTACGATGTAATTATATTGAAATACAAATTCTTAAAGGCAGGTAATTTAGAATAAAGGTGTAGCAAGTCAGATTTTTACAGGAAGCAAAATTTAAGTATGTAAGTATGTACTGTATAAATTGAAGTAATTAAAATTACTTATGCAGTTACAATTACTTAAGTATTGCATAATTTCCTGGTAACTTCGCAGAAAATTTCCCCATCGTAAATACACTGTACTTTTCAGGGCACGAGCCTTATTATTAAGTGGATTAATTTAGCCTTTTTACAGCTTTATTTTGTTACATCGTTAATTAATCTTCATTATGTTGATGAATTTTTTATTATTTAATCATCCTTTTTAACTTATATTGTACTTAAGATTACTTACAGTACACTCCATAATACAGCCCTCACCCCAGAAAGTACAGTGTACTTACATTGTAAGCTCAGAAAATATTATTTGTTTTCCACTAAATTACCAGGAAATTGTGAAGTAATTAAAATTACTTATGCACAACTTACATTTACTTTCAATATAATTATTTCTTTGTTCAGTGTAAAAACCTGACTGGTTTGTGTTTGTGGAGCATTAATGACACCTTGCAGCATGGAACTACATTATTACAGCTGTCAACATTATAATTGCATTGGTCATAGCAGGATTGGTGGGTATATGGTTGTAAATGTCTGAATATATCCTATTTACAAAGAAAAAGTGGGGTGCTACTATGAGATCAGAGGTCAGCAGACAAAAAATGAAGAGAAAACCACTCTACTTCCTAAGCATGGTGGCCACACACACAAAAATACACAGGGACACATGCACACAGGGACCCGATCACGCTTCACTTTTCTGGGAAAAGATAAAAGTGTTTCAGATTTCATGCATTTTCATGCATTGAGCTGAGCTGCAAATTTAGGCCCGAGGAAAGAAATGGAGAGACAAGCCGGAGAGAATGGACGAAAGCATGTGTATGTGTGTGCGGGTTTTTTTGGGGTTTTTTGGAGGGGGGGAGGCAAATAAGGGCAACAGAAGAGTGCATGAATGGAGAAAGTAAAAGGCAGAATGCCAGAGTAGGGAAACATAAAAGACAAAGTTCTGTATGGCCATGCATTTTAACATCCTGAAAAACGGAGTGAGCAGATCAAGGAAGGATGTTGTCACTGCAGTGTGGCAACAACTCTTCTAGCCTAAAAGAGCCATTGCTTTTTCTCCAGAGAGCGAGACGGAAGGGAAAAGTGGCTTTCAAGGAGAACAGCCTGACAAGTTAGTCTCCAGACACTTTTTGAATGCTTAAAACAAAAAGACATGCTATTTGCATCACCTAGTGGGATGGGATTTTGTAATCCGGTGTTTGATGTTCACACACTCACTTAATTGACCCTTTTCATGAAACATTCAGAGGTTACATCCACAGACTGCATATTAAAATGGGGATGATGTCATCAACTGGTTTCTGAAGTTTTGGCTGACAGGGTAGTAAGTTAACGTCTAACACTAGCACATCTGGTTATCAAGCAGGGGTCATGAATTGCAGTTAGTTAATAGTAGTAAAAGAATTTGAGTAATCAAAACAGAAGCACAAACTTCTGGGATGGGCTCAACCTCATAGCATGCAATAAATCTTCCAGTAACTGCATTAAAAATGCTCAAAAGACCAAATCCAAAAGGGGGGGTTATAAAAAGTCATCCTTACCTCATCGGTTGTAAAGAGTAACATTGGCTACAGAGACCATAAATAGTTTTTTAAGTATGCTGTTCGTTTAAGAGCTGAAGATGACTCGCTTTTGGAGCCAGCCTCAAGTGGCCGTTAGAAGAACTGTAGTTTTGCCACTTCAGAGTTGGTGTCCTTTTTCCAACCCAGAGGGAGCGGCCTACACCATCCTCCATACTCTTATGCGCCATCAAAAAGCTGATTAAAGCAAAATTAATACCCTTTTTTTTATTTCAATTCATCTTTTTCACTCTGTCTTAGAATAATTCACTTTTGACGTCCCCATCCAAACCACTGTTGCTGGGATGTTAACACAGTCTGTAGTTACCCCTGACATCAAGGTCAGCTTGGTTTCCTAGCTACACACGAGTCTGTTGAATGATCCTTGTGAACTTTTTTCTCGCTCTGTATCTCATTTCTTTCACTTCAGAGCTGGTGCCCTAACAGCCACTCACCTTAGCACTGCAGTGGTTCTGTTGAACAAAACCCCCTTTGTTTCCCCCACCCTCTCTCTTTCCATGTCTGCTGTCTTTGACTCCCTCTCTTTTAGATTAGGGCTAGAAGATAGCTTTACCTCCTTTTATTTTTACCTTCATTAGTGTCTGTGAAAAGGCAGGAGTGCACACAGAAGCTGAGGTACTGCAACATTTTGTCAAAACAATTAATTCCCTGCATTTGATATGCAGCATGCATCACAGGACAGACAAAAGAAGGCCACTGGCACTGGCAGGCTTATGGTATGATCAAGGCAGACTTTGCATTGATGCTGTTACTACTGAATCTTTTCAGGTATAAAGTTCAGTGCAGACAACTGAGAAAATATTGGGTTTGAGGGTTTTTTGTTTTTGTTTTTTTTAGTCTGCTCGCGATTCATGTGTAAGTATGTCTGCAGGGGCTCTGAAGTGCAGAGGGTGACATGTATACAATACCTCTTTACCTAACCTCACCTCATTTCTACAGGTGCCTCAGGATGAGTGGAGCAATTTCTCTCCGCTGGGGAAAGATGACGAGATTCCATGCCGGCGGATGCGCAGTGGCAGCTATATCAAAGCCATGGCTGAGGAGGACAGCGGCGACTCGGACTGCAGCCCCAAACCCTCGCCCAAGGTCCAGGCACGACGAGCCAGCTACCTGAAGGCCACGCAGCCGTCTCTCACAGAGATGACTACGCTCAAGTGAGTGTGTACCAGGGCGCAAATTATTACTTGAAATTACTCGTTGTAAAGATTTGGATTTTTCTTAATTAAATAAATCTAAAAGGTAAGAAAAATGCCAGGCGTAAACTAAAGCTGTTTACACAAGAACACAGAGTTGCCCTTTCTTTAAGGTAGCATGCAAAAGATTTTAAAAAATTAAGTTGGCTCATCTGAAGCAGCAGCTGTGAGTGGTTTTGTGTTTTGACTGTTTGTTGTTAATCTGTGGGAAAAGATCTTGATTACATTTCTGTCCTGGGTTTGAGCCCTAATAGACTAATCATTTTTCCCCTGTTTGTAACTTTAGATCTACCTCTGTATTATATGCTACTGAATAAAATGTGTTAAGTGTGCTGAAAGCCTGGAGTCACTCTGCACAGTGTCAGTAAAGCAGACTGGAGAGATGAAGGGAATGAGAGTGAAAGAGAAAAGTCAACAAACAACTGAGATGGAGGCAGTCAGTGTTAGTCAGGCGTACTCCCAGCAGCAGTTTGGCTTATGTGTAAGTTCCTGGCTCTTGGTGATCACAGATTAATTATCTTTTCTGTGTTTACAACAATAAAGACATGCCTCTATTTTCATAGCTGGCATACAAATACACAAACACACTGAACTGAGAGCGACTGAGCCCTGATTTAAAATCCACAATGCCAGCTCACCTACTGAAATCTCTTTAAAGAAGTAAGCACTGTGTTCTTCAGAAATGCATTGTGAGTTGAGAACATCATCAGTTATTTCTCTCTGCCTCTCTTTTGAAGCAATTCTTTTCGAATGATCCGAGGTTAAAAGCTGAGCTTCATTATTTGAAGAGTTTCAAGCTGTTGTTTCTTGTTATATAGGGCATTCTCTGCTCTGCAATCTATTTTTTCACAGCACGGGTTTATAAAGTATTCAGCAGTAACAGAGTCCATCAAGATTTTTATTTATTTATATTTTATCTAGTCCACACTGTCAAGCCCAGTGGCAGAACTTAATCTCTTTGCAAACAAGTGGAACATTCAATTTTTGGAACTTCAAATTGATTGAAATTGTATTCATTTTAATTTCATACCACGTTTGTAGTTTTGGCCAGCATTCCTGTAATATTAAAACACTGTGCTAATGTTCATGGTAAGGAAGCATGGTGGGAGGTCATCAATTACATTTTGCTGTCCAACCCTTCTTGGCATAATTGTGAACACGCATACACAGATTTGCTCTGCAGTGTGGGAGTTTTATCTGCAACTTTAGTGTAGTCGCTTTAATTTTTCCTCCAAGTGCAGTGGTGTAGGTTATCTGTTGGCTTATTTACAACCTGTCTGATTGTCTCTGACAGCTCGTGTTTTTTGCTTCCCCAGCTCCACTGTAGCAATGTCATCCTGTTTCCTGTTACTTCTCGAAGTACCAGTTATCGTAATATCACAGAATTAAGGACCGAAAACATAAAAACCTGAGTTGTAATATACCAGAAATTGCCTTTTTAATCCATTGCCCTGTTATGTACAGTCAGTCAGTGAGTCTAAGGTTTTACATATCATTTCAACATTTAAAAAAAATCTAATCATTGACAGATTTTTGAATTAGAATAATGTGACCGCAGATGAACAATAAATCACGTTACACATTATTCATTATTTAATGAAAACTAAACCAAAATATAGTCCTGTGGAAAACTAAGTGCACCTCAATTGCTTGTAGTCTTTAGCAGCAATAACTTGGAGTAACTTGAGGTAATGACTTTCTGCGTGACTATCAGTCTCTTCTATTATTCTAACGTTGCTTCACTTCATGGAGCTTTGTGGATTTACAATTGGATTTAGCACAATATTTCAGTTAGAGGTCTAAACTTTGAATATTTTCTTTTTCTGTCATTCTGTTGTAGATTTGCTGATGTGCTTCTGATCATCGTCCTGTTGCATAATGCATTTTTGGCCAAGCTTTAGCTGTTGGACAGCTGTCGGCCTAACCTTTGATATAGTTGATATTTTGGATTTTGGTATCCAAAGATATTTGTTTTCAGCGCAGTTGGTGCACATTCCTGTGGCTTTAAAACAATCCCAAATCATCACCTACTTTACCACCGCTCTTCATAGCTGCTATGAGGTGTTCATGCTGAGATGCTGTGAGCATTATGGCTTAACATCTTTTGGTCTTGTCTGCCCAAATAATAGTCGTACCCGAAATTTTGTTGTTAGTTAAGATGCAAATGTAAGCTAGTCTGCCTTGTTCTTTTTTCTGGTAACCATTCCAAACAAGCCATACTTGTTCAGTCTTTTTCCAATTGTACTGTTGCCCTAACTTTAACATTTAACATGCTAACTTAGGCCTGTAGCATCTGAGGTTTTTTTTTTTTTTAGTTTCTCTGTACTTTGCACGGCCTGAATTTCCACTCCTCAGAAGATTGGTAACTGTCTTGAATCTTTCTCACTGTAGAATAATGGACTTTAAATTGTTTGGAAATGGCCTTATAACCCTTTCCAGACTGTATGGGCAGCAACTATTGCTTCTGTAAGCTCATCACTGATGTCTTGCCTCCTTGACAGTGTGCTAACACACCTGAATGCCCCAGACAAGCTGCCAAAACCTGTGCTTTTATGGAGGTGCTCACACTTGCCTACAATCAGTTAAAGTGCATTTGATTAGCAACATGTGGCTGATGCTTTCCCTCGTAATTCCAATAGAAGGAGTGTTCTTGGCTTTTCACACACTGTTTCTGCATTATCACTTTAGTTTTTATGAAATAAATAATGAAAGGATGTAATTGCTGTTGCTGTTTTTTGATGGTGTCCTTTCTTTATACCACCACTCTGTATAACAACACGTGATCTGACCGTTGGAGATATCTTACGTCATACTGCACTGAAACAGTTAAAGAACCGAGGACAGTCTGATGGCGCTGCACGAGGCTGTGACTGATTAACTGTGTAATATACAGAGATGAGAAGAACACCAGTGGGTGCTCCGTCATTGTTACTGGTTTCTCTCTCACACACACACACACACACCCTTACGTAAGTGCAAGTGGCACAGCTTGGGGCCTACTAATGACTTGAATTTGGCCCCGGGAACGCCATCATCATCTGATGGAACCCAATGGAACAAACCAAACTGCAGTGCTGCACATTGGAGATAGAGAATGAGGCGGGAGCAGCTGACATCTTGTTTTCAAATGTTGCTTTTGGGAGCTGGCACAAGTCTGTTACACTCCGCAATGATTTAATAATCAGCTTTGTTGTTCCATATGTTTTCGAGCTCATTCTGCGGCCATTGTGTCCTTGACTAGCTGGGAATTGCTCCTAAGAAGTTGTGAAATTTGCTAATTCTCGTCCATTTGCAACCTCCTCCTTTATTAAAACACAAGGCATGCAGATAAAGAGTGTATATGAATGGTTGGGATTATTTCTGACACACAACAACAAGCTCAGGAGAAAATTACATCCTTTCTTGTTTCGCTCACTCACAAACTCCAAGCTTTCTTTTTGCCATAAACATTTATTTGTGGCCTAGATTTTATCATGTTTACTGTGTGTCTCTAAGACACACCCTTCCATCCCTCCAACCACCGTGTTTAGGCTCTTTATTTAGATATACTAAGAGGGGAAAGCAAGGGAAGGATGAAAGCGGAGAAGGTAAAAGCAGTTAGACTGAGAAATCTTGTCACGCGGAGAGGCAGGGGGAACTGGTTGGGGAAAAAAACATTTGAAGCAAAACACAAAAAAAGACATGATGTGAAGATGAAAAACAGAAAAGAAGAATTATGTAGAATTATGAGAAAAGAACAAGAAATGTGGAGGAAATCGGCAGACGACAGACAGATTCCTGATGTAATGTCTTCATTTATGTCACTTGTTTCATAGTGGAACAGCTTGCAATATGCTAAACTCCCCCCAATCCTTAACTGGTCCTGATTACTGGCTGGGTCTGCAATTTAAGTGGCCACAATAGACATCATTGGATCTATAATCAGCCCCACAGGGAAATCAAGAGGAGATGTGGATAGAAAAATGATGTGGGTAGATTCTTCCTTGACTTGATTCCTCTGTGAATCACCCACAGCCAAAGACACAAGGTGGCTGATATGAATGAGTCACACCAGTTTCGCTTTCTTGGTTTTAGAATATGTACCGTTTAAATAATTAAATAATCTATAATCAAGTGAACCATTGCAGTACTGTAGGCAGTGCTGCATGGGGAACTATAGGTACAGTGGAACATAGACAGGAGTACAAACTTTATATTTACTCTGTGTAACATTTTTTGAATTGTTTTGTCACATTTTCACTGGACCATGAATTACACAGACTGGTCGGAAATTTTGGGAAAGAGATCAAAATTAAAAGCCTGAAAAGTCTCTTCAGAAGCAACAGAGGTTGTGTATGTTGGTGTTGAAGGTTAAATTGCCTGACTGTAACATAGGAGATTGTTGTTTCTCTCCTGTAAACTACAGGCTATGATCTTTTAACCATTGCCAAAGTTTAGACTTTTTCTTTTCCTTAAAAATATCTAAAATTAATCAAATAACCACCATAATGCTTGATTAGGAAACTGATTGATTTGAAAGTTGGAGTTCTGATAGTAGTGGCAGTATCAGGTGTTCATGTGGAGTGCATGGGTTGTTTAATTTGATAGTTATTCGAATATCTCTGAAAAAGTCTATCATGCATCATATGGAGCAATCATTCAAACGACCTGGAAGCTTGAGGGTGCTGCACAGTATCTTTGCTGTGTACTGCGTACTGTTCAGGACAGAGATCTCAGATGTCATTTCTGGGATCTCCTGGACCCACCTGCCCAGTTTGGGGGTCACTGCTCCACGGGGACCACTATACGCATCCTATTTTGACCTAAAGATAAAGGGCATACTCAGCACAGATGCATGCCCTGCCTGCCAGAATCTTGCACTCTGCTGTTACGTGTTGGATTGCCTTAGGGGCCATAGCCCCCACAACCACGATTAGTGCCTCTGTGCTGTCTTTAAGTCCAGCTTTGACCAGCCATTGGTAGGATTTCTTTATCAGCTACTTCCTCTTCCAGACAGAGATCTCTGATGTTGTGCCTGGAATCTGCCTGCTTTCTGGTCACAGCTCCTAATGCATCTGTTACCACTGGAAACACTTTGGACTTACACATCTGCTCCAGTTGGTTTTTTTCAGTCCCTGGTACTTGTCGCTGTCTGCTGGGATTAGCACATCTATCACAACTCTTGTCTTGGAAACCACCACTATGCCTGGCTAATTTAGCAGCTACTGCTTGTCTGTACCACAGGACACTAGCTCTGTTGTTCTCAACCATCTTTCGTGGCATCTCCCATCAGGACTTGGGGATTCCTAGTCCATGTGCATATTTTCCTGTACACTATCCCAGCCTCTTGGTTGGGCCTGTTAGTCTATGCTGTCCCAGCTTGGATCTTAGATCCTGCTACTATGTGTTGGATAGTCTCTTAGGTGCTTTTATACACTCTGCAACTTGGATTCTGTCAGTTTCAGTAGACTCCTGCTTCTATGGACCTGGTGCTCAAGGCTTGTGCTGTTTTTTAACCTGGCCTTTTGTAGCTATTGGAAGGATTTCTTTATGTCAGCCAGTTCCTCTATCTGTCGATGGTACATCCCAAGGATGGACTTGGTTGTCCGTGATAGTTGCTGTTTAATTGACTCTGTCTATGAGTTCTCTGTTTGGTTCTGAGATCACCCATTACCACTATATGTTACTCCCAGGCATGATATAGCTGTGTTGAGTTTGTTTTCTCAATCAAATTCATTTAGCTTTAATAATACTTAAGATATAATAAAACATGACATTTGGCTCAAAACATTATTTGGTGATTCAGATACACCAGATTTCTCTTTTCCTGTCATCTGGTGGAAAAAATGATTTTCCTTAAAAATACAGCGGAACTATTAGAAAACATTGATGGAAGACCTCAAAATGATCAATTGTGTTGATCAAACAAAGCAGCAGCATGACTAACTCATGAATTTTTCTGTGTCTGTGGAGTAGCTTCTAGTATATTATTCTCAATATTAAAGAGCCAGGAGGACAGTCGGGCTAAATGGAGACATGTTTTAAAATTAATAACTGTCCGTTCGGCACACTTATTCTTATCTCAGTAGTTTATCTGTTCTTCCACTTCACCTCGCCTTTCCAATCTTCCATCCAAGAATGAGTAATCTAGTTTGCTTTGCTGTGGTAACCGCGCTCTATTTTAAGGCAGAAATGCATAATTAAAGCTGACCTGACATGAAGGCAGAGACTAAGAGTTGTATAAGCAAAGTATCTATACGCGGATGCTCTTATATGTGTGTGGAATAAGAGAGGCTACAAAAAGATGTGGCTCTCACCGTTAATTTGAGAATTTATATATAATCTGCGATGTATTCTTTCCTCACTTGGTTTAGTAGACCGCCATGTTCCTCAAGAATGAAGTGAGTCTGCTTTTTAGGTTTTATTTGCTGTGATTAATTCGTTGTTTAACTTGCATCCAATTGCTATTTAACCTAAACAGCAAGCACCCTTTTTTGCGGGTACACAAATGCACACGTGCACATAGATGTGAAGCATGCTAAGCAATCAGGCTGAAAGCAGGTGACAATTAATGAAACATCTATTCATACCTTTCATACAGGATGTGTATCAAATATATTTCTGTGTTTTTATGTCACAGTCTCTAAATTAAGTATACCTCACAGGCATACAGAAACAGACGTTCATATCTCTATATACAAGAGTTCTCATGATTAAGCGTTTTAGAAAGTGCTTACAAGGAGCTTCAAGGACAAACTATCTAAGCTACTGTGAGCGGTTCTCAATAGAACTACGCTGTTTGATTAGATAATGGTGTGTCCTGAAGCAGTTGTGGATTGATCCTTATCTTTCGGTTCACACACTTCCAAGTACTTGAAATTGCCTTCTCTTGCATTCTTTTCATCGCCCCCTCTTTACCTCTGCTCTTTTTCTGCCTTTATCATCCTTAGTTTTTCACCTTTTTACTAATCTCTTGCTTTTCCTGTTTTGACTTTTTTTTTGTTTGTTTTTTACCCCTTCCTTTTTTCTTTCTTTCCCTCCCTTATGGCAGGATTTCCACAGAGCACTCACCCAAACTGCAGATCCGGAGTCACAGCTATCTGCGGGCGGTGAGTGAGGTTTCCATCAATAGGAGTCTGGACAGCTTGGACCCAGCAGGGCTGCTGGCTTCGCCTAAATTCCGCTCCCGAAACGAGAGCTACATGAGAGCAATGAGCACCATCAGCCAGGTTGGTGGCACTCTGGCTCCCATGCCTGTTTTTTGTTCGCCTCTACGGCCCTCGTACCTCTACTGTTACATCCAATAAGGCTGTGCAGTGGGAGGAAATCCCATCGGTAGCCATTCTAAGACCTAAATTAGCAATCAGGTCACCATCCGGCAAATTATGAAAAAAATATAAAAAAACCCCAATCTTCTAATTAGTGTGTACGTGTGCATGCTGTTTTCTGGAGTTCAGATGATACTGATATTTTCAGATTGGCTAATTAAACAGGAGGGGATGCAGACCTCCCTCAGTTCCCTCTTTTGCCATAATACGCTCTTTCTGCATCAGCATATTTTGCGAACCAAAATGACAAGCTTAAGCTGTTCTACTCGTTTAACATGCAGCAATGTGATTTTTATGAATAATTCAAAGTCGGATAGATTCCAAATAATAACGGGCATTTGAGGTGATGTGACAGTTATTGAACATACTGAAGAACTGGCCAGGAAACAAGACACACACTAGCCTGGTGGAGGTCTGTTAATGTATTGCCAGCTGCAAAATAAGATGTTAGTCATTTGGGATTTTGAGCAGTGCTTGATACATTGCATTATTTGTAATGACAGGGGAACTTAGTTTACCTTTTTGCCTGGGGTAATGGGAATATGTACTCCCCTCTAAAGCCCAGGGGCAACAGTTTGCCTCACCATCTGAATGATGGACCCCTGAGACATCCCTTCAAGTCCTGGCATGGAGCAGGCCAAGAAGAGAATGTCACACTGGACCTGGCATCAACAAAAAGAATAAAGGTGCTGCTTAGGTTCTCTATTTCACTGTTTGCATCTAGTGTCAGCTGGTGTCAATAGACTGAATCAAGGTCCACAAACCTTCCTGATTCCCAACTCTACAAATGTGCACTTACACCTCTGACTCTACACTCTGCTTACCAAGTCCTGCTTCTTTCATTTGTGTCACTCCCTGTGAACATATCCTGGGAACTATCCTATTATCTGCCCTCACATAACCCAGTCTGTCCCACACACCCATCTTGCAAGTCTGTCGCAAGTTTTCTGAGTTGTGTTTGCTTTAGAGCCTGTTTTGAAGCTGCACTAGCTAATGATGTAGGTGTAATTAGATGTCCTTGAGTCACATTTCAAATCCCAGTAGTCTTAGCTTTGACACTTCCCATTCTCACCTTTAATAACGCGTAGTATTTCACTGTGTTGTATGGCCCTTTGAAGTTTTATCCTACAGGGATTCTTCCCCCTCTGCACTCCTTGGATAGTCTTTTATTTTTCTCCAATGTATTTCTATTTTAAGTGGGCTATATGGAAATTCCTATAAATGGCTTAAAGCTTCATAAGACGGCGTGGAGGTAAAAGCAGTGACAAAAATGAATTGCTGTACTCTGCACTGACATGGAAATTCTGTGATTTGATGTGCTAAAAAAAAAGCTTGAATAGTGTATGATGCATTACCAAAAGGCACAGAGTTGTAGAACATAATTCACTGCAAGCAAATATTTCGATGGCTGGATTTCAGTCAAAAGATTTGAAAAATGTTTTGTTAAAAGTACTTTTGCGGTTTTTATTATTTCTCCTTGGCAAAGATGCATTTATACAAAACAAAAATATATATTTTTCTATTTTTTTTGACCAAATGTGGTGAATCTACCTGCCATAAATTATGGGTAACGCTGAAACCCCAATGTTATGTTGCAGCACCGAATTTGCACTTTAACTGTGTTTGTATATAAAACTCCTGCCTGGTGAAGCTTTGAGCAGTAGAGTAGTACAGTAACAGCAATTCTTGCAGCACTAAAAGATGTTTCTCTGGCTTTTGCTACTTTAATATATTGTCCATTCACCTTTCTCATACACTGTGCTGGTATACACCTGTGCATTGTTATTTTTCAAGGTGTTCTCTTTTTCCTCTGTGTGGATGTTTGTGTGCACATACTGTATGTATGTCTGTCTGTTTTCCCCTCCTCCACAGGTGAGCGAGGTGGAGGTGAATGGGCAGATCGAGGCGGTGTGTGAGTCAGTGTTCAGTGAGATGGAGTCACAAGCAGTGGATGCCCTAGACCTGCCCATGCCTGGGTGTTTCCGTATGCGGAGCCACAGCTACGTGCGTGCCATCGAGAAAGGCTGCTCACAGGAAGAGGAAGAGGGGAGCGTAACAGCGGGAAGCAGGAGGACCAACTCACCCCCACGCACCACCACCACTGTTAGAACCATCCAGAGCAGCACAGGTGGGTGGGAACATGTGCTTAAAGCATGCATACTCATGTGCTCATGACTGAGTGAACATACATAACCTATTATAAATTCATATGAGCTTAGAAAGTATATTTTATGGATGCACTCTGATTTCTGAATGAATATCTTAATACTGCACTTTACTTGCTTACTTCGCTGGAAAGTTTGCAATACACATGATTGATGGTCATCAAGTCAAATCTTCTCCTTTCTTTCCCTCTTCTGAAGAAACCCAGTCTTGGTTATTTCCATAAAAAAGAGCTGACTCGGTTAGCCAGCTGCAGACTAGTTTCACTTTGCAAACACAGACCCAGACCCTCTATATTATTATCCATCTGACCCAGTTTTCTTCTCTGATACAATAAGATGAATGCCGGACTGTTTTTTTTTTCTCGCATAAGAGCTTATTTGAGCTGTAAAGCTCACTGACTGCTGGATCTTATTTTAGCCCTCTTGTGTGCCTCATGGTCTGGAGTGCTTAGTTTTCCAGCATTACTGCATGCAGTATTGATGCTGAGTGGTGCTGGCATCCAGCACTGGGTGCTTCTATGCTTCCCGCTGCAAATCCAAACGTCATTCCCTTACACGGTGCACGTTGAGTCACCATAGCCTGACGCACATTGGTGTTCGCTTCCATTATTATTTAATTATGCCAATTAAAAGACAGCATTTCCCCAAACCAGGTTGACAAAGGTTACAGCCAGCTAATTAAACACATTAACTGCAAATTGGAAGAATTGCAAAACTGGTTCAGTGAATTAAAAGGGCTTACTACTGACTCTGAGCAAACATTTATTTAAGGCTCTTTAAAAACTGCTCCAACTGACGTCTTTGCAGACTATCATTTCCTGCTCCAGTTAGTGAAATTAGACAAAATATGAATTTGCACCCCACTGTTTCTATGATTATATATCAAAGAAGAGGCCAAGTTAGGAATGCAATTAAAGGCAATGGAGGATTCATTTGATTGTTCTGTTGTTTGGTAGTACTTATTGATCTATAAAACGGAGAGAGTGATAAGAGGAAGACATTCAAAGCTCCCTCCTCGGAGGAAGGAAGAGATAATGAAGATCATCTATCAGGTGAAGTGTTGTAGGGACTAAAATGGGGTTTTCATCCTAGACAGCTGCTACACGTGGTACAGGAAGTCTCTATTTCTCTGGCTGTCTCGCACACGCCTTGCAGGGCTCGCTCTTGATCTGTAACACAAAGGCAACACCTTTAAACATTTGTCAGGTGACTAAGCAGAGATTTCTTTGCTGTAGCACATATTTTAGAAGCGGTTGCCTCATAGCTGCTGGCATTTTAATGAACATCCTTGTGATGCCTTAGTTGGACAGATGATGGACAGATATTTATTTTTTGGAATTTCAAAGATGAGATAATAGCCCGGTGTATGGTACTGATGAGGCAACATAACACAACTCCTTCCAGTTGACGGCAATATTCTGTCTTGGGTTTGTGTCGTACTTTGTCGACTTCTTGTTACCCTTGACCCTTATTTCCCACCGACCTCCTGGTATCTCAAAATCAGTTGCAACCAAGATTTAAGCACGCAACATGGGACATTAGGACAGTGATATATTACAAGGTGATGTGGAAAGCATTTAACTGTAATTGGTACTAAAGGTAGGGGATTGCTTCAGATTACTGTCATAACTATACTACTGTACACTTCGTCACATCAGATTTTCATCACAAATTCATCAGTCACTGTGATTAATTATCTCAACCTCTCCTTTGTCTCCCACTGGGGCGAGACCGCGATTAAGAGTAAAAGAAGAGATGGAGACTGGAGAGAGGAGGGAAAAGTCTCTATGTGTCTGCATTTTGAATGGATGACTTTTTTAATGTGATCATCTGGTTAAAGTTAGGTAGGAGTTGTTCTCCTAATGCAGTGTGTAAAGTACAGGGATGGCAGATGGTTTCGAACCACTGAAACAACACCCCCCACATCTTAACACTCCTTAAACCTGATAATCAGATTTTACAGAGGCTATGAAGATTTCTGTTTTTCTTCCCAACTATTGAAGGATATTATCAATTTCTTTCTAACTGCTGTTTTTGGAAATGAACTGGAAATCTCAACATTTTAGTCATTTCAGTAAATTACTGGCAAATAAGCATGGGGGGGTATGGTGCTGTTTGGGATTAGAAACAATCAAAAGGCTAGAATGTGTTTCAGCCGTCAAAGGCAGCATGTGCGGTAGCTGTAAACCTTGCCTCCTGTCCATATTAATGTAGGTAACGGGTACACATAATGGGGATTTGCTGTAAAATTATTGTAGGCTAGCATTTTACAGCACTCAGTACTCAAAGTACCCTTTACCCACAAGAAAATACAGCAAACAATATGCATTTTATAATTTCATATTCATAACAGACATTTGACATTTGCAGTCTCTCTCTCTCTCTCTCAGCTCTCACATAGTAGGCTATAAAGAACATATAACTGTCGGCACGGTGACGTCCTCCTAAGCAAACATTCACAGCTTTTACAGTTTAGTTTATTTCTGTTGTTTCACGATGTGAACGCTCACACGAGCAAACACACGCACATTAATACATTTCACAGGAAATCGTCTGGGAGCCCAAAGCGAGAAATGAAGACGTTGTTGTGGTGAATATTGCATGATGTTTCTGAAAGCTGGTTCAAGCACCGGTTCCAGAAAAACAGCCCGCACTTATGGTTTTCAGCTCCCACTTGTCCCCACGGCAAAAAGCCAAAATATCACACACACACGCACAGACACACAGCAGGCAAGAGACCTATCAGCTTCCGCTCATGCTTGTCTCCGGTTTGCCCACTGCACTGCTCCAGCCCATTATTATTGATGATCTTTTTAATCCCGAGGAAGGAGACCGAAGTAAAGGGTCGTCCTTTGATCTCTTCCCTTTGAATGTGAAGTAGCTGTGGCTGCTGTTGCCTGCGTCCGTGCCCGCTTAAACTGGCACATACACGCACACACGTTAACCTGCAAACTCACTAATGCAGACATACTGCTATTGCCTCGAACAGACACGTTGGCCAAGACATCAGGTCCTTTGGATCGGTTTAACAAAATCTGGAGCAGATCCTCTTTCTAAAGCTTCGGAAAATCCATAGCAATCGGTTAATGTGAGGATTTTACTGCCTTTAAGCCCTGCTCCTTCAACCCCATGTCATCTCCAGTTAACATATTCATCACCTCCTCACCCCTGCTTTGTCTTGTCCTCCCTTGCCTTCTTGCTCAACAGCTAGAGCCGCTTCCTTTATACGAGCGAAGCTAGGTGTGTGGGTAAATCAACCTGTTGTGGCACTTCTTCAGGAAGAATAAATGACCTTGTATTAGAAACCGTATACATGCATATCTTAAGTCTGGGAATTTTGCCATAGCTTCTTATGGTTTCTCTTTCTCTCCCCCTTGTTTCCCATGCTTGCTGACCTACTGTCATTTATCCAACCTCACATTTCCCAGCGTCTATTCAGAGGTGCCAAAGGATTTGGTTTAAAAAAAAGAAAAGAAAAAGGTATTCACGCCCTAGCTTCATGTAATCAGTTATAGGACAATATTTGATTTAATGGCTGTGAATTTTTTACAGCCCCTACCAGAGGCATTGTGCTGAATAAAGCATTCCTTAAGTAAGCATTTAAGGCATGCATGTGTTCCATATTGCCAATGGTCTTGCAAACACTGAAGGGAAAACAACCTCTTCGTTTAGTTCTCTTATGCAGCTTCTAGCATACTTTTTCTATCTGCTTCCACTGCACAAGAGCAATTAAAAAAAATTAATACTAATAAAATACTTGTCATATATAACTGTACTTTAGATTGGCCGCTTTTGTTAAAAAATGTTTTAGTGTAAGTAAAAGACAAAAGAATAATTAAACATGCAAATTAATATAAAGGTTTAGTTGCTCAGAAAGAGAACGGCCGAGTTGCTTTATGTGCTGCATTTAAAAAAAATGCAGCACATAAACTGAGAAAGGATTAAGAATTTTCTCATTTGATTAGGTTTGTTCTTAATTACTTCTCTACCACTTTCTAAAGACCTTTGCACACCAAATGTGGTCTTGCTGGGAGTAAGTGTAGGCTAACTTCTCGAAACCGGATCAAATATCTAATACATTCTGCTAAGAAAACCTGTGTAAATTTGGTATTTGCACTAAAAGTCAATAGGGGATCTCATGAAAAGCACAGTATAAATCACAGGGAATCTTATTTCCTGTAAGAAAAGATTTAATGCTTGAGGAAATATGCTTATTGGCTTTATTTAAATAAAAAAAAATCTTGTTAATAAGCATAACTTAATTAAAAACGTAATTTTTGCATCAGTAGTAAATATTTGTAATTTTCAAATATCTAATACCAATGGGTATGAGGGATTTCTGGGAGATTAGAATATAATAACATCTGCGCTCTTACTGTAGTGGCAGTTAATCACAGTAGGAGTTAGTGGAAAGGTGTCACCAGAGGCGATGACAGAAACCTTGTTGGTTTTGGTATTTCCTATTAGTTACAGAAAGCAGCATTTTCCCACATTTGGTTTTCTGTGTTTAAAAACACTCAACATACTGGTCTGAGTGTGGAACACTAAACTTACTGCGATGTTTTCAGGCTTTACTCTGTCTAGCCCTGCATGTGTATTCCAAACTCTGCCTTACAGTAGAGAACTGCAGGCTGAGATAAATCCTGTACAACACTGCCCCCAGGGGCTCAGTGAAGCACAGCACCACACCTCTACTCTTTCTTCCTTCAGAAGCTCCGTGAGTGGGCGGATGAAAAACTACAAGACAGCTTGACCCAATTAAAAACAATCACTGGCTTTTTTCCAGGAGCTCTGTTCTGAGAGAGCTTGTGCGAATAAATATCTCTAGATGTGCTAAATATATATGGCTGGGATACAGACCGCTGAAGTCTGGCCGAATCAAGATCAAGCCAAGCATTGGGCCAGATTTCCCCTCACACCTCCACCAGCCCACGCAAATATCCCAGAGCAAGGCAGAATTTTG